TTCCAATTTTCTTGAGGAGTCGCCATACTGATTTCCACAGTGGCTGTACAAGTTGGCACTCCCACCAGCAGTGGAGGAGTGTTCCTCTCCAGCATAAACTGTCATTGGTATTTTTGATTTTAAGGTTTATTTTATTTTGAGCCAGGTGGTGGTGGCACACTCCTTTAATCCCAGCACTCAGGAGGCAGAGGCAAGCCGATCTCAGTTCTAGGTCAGCCTGGTCTACAAAGCTACACAGAAAAACCCTGTCTCAGGGAAAAACAAACAAAAAAACATTATTTTACTTCGTGTTTGAGTGTTTTGTTTGAATGTATGTCTGTGCACCGCAAGTGTTCTGGTGCCCATGGGAGTCAGGATACCAGGAGCTGAATCCCTTGGAACTGGAGTTAATGGATGGGTGTGAGCCACTATGTGGGTAGTTGCTGGAAACCGAACTCAGGTCTCTACAAGAGCAAGTACTCTTCACCACTGAGCCAACCACACCTCAGTTCTTCATTTTAAAATCACTAAAGAGAATGCAGCTAAACTTGTATCTGTAGCATGCTGAAAATTCACTTGAGTTTGAGTGTTTTGTGACCTGTCAGATACATGCTTCTAAAACCACCGTCTCTGTCACTATCAAGCACCCTTATGTCTATGAACAAAGGATCGAGTGACATACAGTCCAACTCTTCCAAACTAAACTATTGAGTTGGATAAAGGCACTTACTCCAAGCTTGACATTCTGAGTGCAGTCCCCAGGATTAACATGGTAGAATGAGAGAACCAACTTCTGAAAGTTGTCCTCTGACCTCCACACATGTGCTAATGGCATGTGTCTATGTACATGAGTGTGTGTTGAGATGGCTCAGCTGGTAAAAGCCCTTGCTACTGAGCCTGATGACTTGAGTTAGATCCTTGGGGCCCCCGTGGTGGAAGGACAAACCACCTCTTGCAAGTTGTCTTCATGGACACATACATACACAAATAAACTTAAAAATACTGCTTTTGAATAAAAACGTGAGTTGTCACAAGCTGGTTCTATATACTTATGAAAGGTTCATGGGTTGATGGGTGTCAGGTGACCATCTGCGAATGGACTGTTTCCCCAGTGAAACATCTGCTTCTGCTGTTGCTCTCGAGAGGCCCCCGTGGCTGAGTTGAGGCTCACAGTAATTGTTCCCTAAGTTTACGCCAGCCTCTCCCTGACACTGAGGTTGCCCAAACTGCTAGTTTTCAAACCCCTTGTAAGCAAGGGACTTTGTGTCTCCTACTCTGTATCCAGAATTGTGTAATTCTCATAAATGAAAATACTGGAAGGGGGTGTCTACAAATTCTGCGACCAAGTGTATTGGTTCTGAGGTTAATGTCTGTCCTTGGCTCTAGATCTCGCTGTAGTATGCCATTTAATTCTGCTTTAACATGCTGACTAGTGAGTTCACGTTGTGATATGCTTCACTCTCTAGGTTATACCTTTCAGATTAAAGTGATGCCAGGTATGGTGATGCATGTCTGTAATCCAGACGCTGAGCAGCACCTCGAGTTGAGGTCAGCCTGGGCTACATATAAAAACTATCTCTAAAAATGTTATTTCAGAAGTGTATTCTTTGTGGTGTGTACTCTTCATTTCCATGCATGCTGAATTGGGGCTCATGCTCAGCTGAAATAGCGGGATGCCCTGTGTGCTGCAGATACAGAGTCGATTCAACGAACCTCGGTCACATGATGCTTCTTGTCTAATTGCTGCCATTTTAAGATTTGCAAAGTGAGATTGGTCTTCCTAAAAACAAACACTGGACCAGGGGTGCATGCACTTGGTAGAAAGCCTTTCCTTGACATGCCCCATATCCTTGTTTGAGTCCTAGCACCGTGCACCAGTAGTGGTACTGCTGCAATCCCAACCTTTGGGAGGTGGAGGCAGGAGGGTCAGACGCTGATTTCCCTCAGCTACATAGACAGTTTGTAGCCTGCACTGGACATCACAAAATAAAAAGAGCCACGCTTGGGGGCGCATACCTTTAATCCAGCACTCTGGTGATAGAGGCAGGCTGAGCTCTGAATTCCAGGCCAGCCGAGGCTACATAGCAAAAATCCATCTATAAGTAAATAAGACCACTTAAAATCTGTAAAGAGATG